AAGGCAATTTCTTTCCACTCCGAAGGGGACCCACTCGGCCCCCGGCACCACCTTGACCTTCTGTTAAGCAAATGGCCTCCTGTATATTCATTTGAATTGGGAAACTTCCAAGTCATCTTCAAATGCTTTGAAAAACAAATTCTAGAAGTTATTACAAAATGTGTGTGTATTTTCTTTGACATTTGTAAATGCGAAGGGGGAGGCAAATTTTAAACCAACCACTGGAAATATAACAGAATGGAGGTGCTAAGCTTATTTATTGTGGAAGCCATTCGGACATCTTTGGAAGATTATAGTCACCATGGAGATAATGGTGTAGACACCATGAAGACAGGAAGTGGAAGTCTCTGCCCACCCTGTGATTTAATAACAAAGGAGGAAGACCAACCCCCACCCCACCCGACCTTCTTGTCATGAGCCCTGGTGGTGTCGTGGCTCTGCGGTGGGCTGAGATCCTCCATATCCGTGGCTCGAAACCATCAGCCGTGCTTCCGGCAAAAAGACGGGCTTTCTCTTTCTGCACCAGTTCGAGTCTCAGAAACTCACAGGGGCGGTTCCACTCGGCCTCGCAGGGTTGTTGTGAGCAGGCGTTGACCTGATGGCAGAGTTGGTTTCGTTCGGTTGGTTTATTGTGCAGCCAGGAGGAAAGGCTTGGGTCGTGACTCTTAGATTCGACTCTGACCCCTCCCAGCAAAGCCTTTAACCAGAGTTTGGTAACCTGTAAACTAAAAGCAACAAACAAGGGTTCAACTACTGAAGTTAGTGTGCCACGTTGTGTTTTAGAGCGGGAGCCTGGCTCACGGTGAAGAGCTCCAGGCTGTGTGTTCACGTGGAAACCTACGTGAACTTTCGAAGGAGCCAGGCTGGCCCTGTGAGTTGGGCTTGGAGCTGCTGCACAAGATCGATGGCTTAGACCCACCCCCCAAGCCTCTCTGCGGGAGACAGAAGAGACTGTCTATCCCCACAGAGATTCACAGTCTCAGAGACCCGGTAGAGGGTTGCTGGAATTCAGACTCAAAGTCAAGGCAATGGGTGAGGAAGACAAGCAAGTTCAAGCATAATAAAAGCTTGAAGCAGGGTTTAGTTAAACCCAAAGTCTCCCTTGGCCTCTTGGGCCTTTCCTGGAGCGCCCTTGGCCCCCTTCCTCTCCCCACTCCACCCCTCCCTCTCCAGCCTTGAGTCCTGTGGTTGTGCTTCTCAAACTTGCCACATTCCTCTTTATTATCCTCTTGATACACCACTTTATTCAACTCTTCCCGGAAGATATCAGTTCTTTAAGGAAGCATTTCCTGCTTGTCCGGGGCTCGCATTGCCCCATATCTAATAGTTCTGCTTCTTGAAGTCCTTTCTATAATTGTAGAGTCCCAGGGTGGTGGCAACAGTGAACAGTTACAGCTATTAACGAAAGGGTTGATGTCAGAGTTCACCAAAAATGTGTCTCCGAGAAAAAGCTGGCCATCTTCTTCCCCCGAATCAGCCCTTGAACGCCCCACGGAGCCCCATTCTACTCCCCGACACACGAGGTCGCCACCACTCGACATCAGCTAGATAGCAATGGTTTAGGTTTTCTGTAACAGTGACTGGTGGTTTCTTAAGAGCCACCTCCCTGAGCCTTGAGGTCAGGGACCAGACGCTCTTCCAGCGTCTTCTTCAGACTGTGGCTGCCTTTGCGTGCGCTCCACTCTGTGCCTTGTCCTGCCCCATCCTCACCACCCTGGTCATGCTTGAGGCCATGGTGGCAGCCACTGTGTCAGTTCGTCTCATTGATGCCCTTCTCTGTCACCAACCCCCTTCTTGACCAAGCACGAAGCCCCTTTCCAGGCACTGGTCGCTCCGCATAACATGTCCAAAGTGTCTGAGACAGGAGTCTGGTCATCTTCACTCTTTATTTAAATCTCAGAGAATGGTATTTCCAAAATTCCCCAAATAATCTTTTATGTATTTAAACCATTTTATTAGCATATAGTTCACATAGCACACGGTGTACTAGCTCAATCATAGTAATAAGAACTGCACAATCATTTCCACAATCAACTTTAGAACATTTATTTTCCTTCTTGCACCCATTGTCGTCAGCTCCCCCTCCCCCTCCCCCACCTTCCCCTGCCACGCCCCCCAAGAAAAACGTCAACGCAAACCCTGTCACTGGAGCTCTGCCAATGCTGGCTTGCAGAGAGAAAAACATAGGCAATAAAATCCAGAAACCAAAAAACCCCAACCAACCACCCACTCTGCGTGACAGCAAGGCTATTTACATCCCTGATCTGTGATCGGAAGGGACTCACTGGAAGGTCACCCTCAGCTTTAAGGAGCATCTGAGGTGTGCTTCCTCCAAGACAAATCAGTTTGCTGGTTCTCTGGCAGTCGATGCGACTGTCAATGTTCTTTGCTAACGTCCAGTCTGTAGACCAGGCCAGAGTAACCCACTGTCCTGCTCAAACAGGCTGTGTGTCTTCACGACCTCGTTCTTGAATTGATGAGAAACCCAAGTTCTGGGAATTCTTCGTATAATAATAGGCATACCAACCTAGAAAATCTACCAGACACGATTCTAAGCACTTTACATTTACTGATGATTTTATCTACACCCTAGCCGCCTGAAGTAGATATTACTGCTGTTCCTTTTTTATACAGAAAGGTCCCTGAGTGGTGTACACGGCTTGTGAAGTCGCCATCGGAGACGTGAACGCAATGATTGGTGCTTCTGTAAAGCATGCAGTCAAGAAAGTCCGACTGGAACATTTCCCCTCTGTAACCCAGAGGTTTCCATGAGCTGAAAGAGACCCCACAACTTTTTATTTTTAACAGTTGGAGAAACTCGGGTATAGAAATAACTTGATAAGCCAAGAGGCTGGGCACGCGGGCTGCAGAAGCCAAGCTCCTCGCCCCTAGGCTGTGCTATCTTATAGCAGTGCCGAGACCCTTAGCTTGGCGTTGACTAGAGTCTTCTGATACTTCACTCTTCCCTCCATTTGCCCCACTGGCAAGTCCTGCCATCCCCATGACTAACCCCAGTGGCTTTCTTTTTCACGGTAACTAGCTCCCAAATGACTTCCCACACTTTCACACCCTTCCCGGTCTCCTTCCCTTTCCAGGGAGGTGTTTCTAGAACATAGTAGAAAGCCTCTCTCCTGGAGGTCTCTATCTGCCTTTCTACACCCTGATCTTCACATGCTATTAACTATTGAACACACAGACCACAGCTCCAAAGTCTTGGCTCGGGCCATCTAATCAAAGTAAGTAAGCCCTGACAATTACCTCAATTTCCTGTTTTTATTTTCCATAAAGAACTTTGCAGGATAATGGAGCATGCGCAGACCTTTCATACTCATCCCACCTGGCCCTGTGGATGCACGTGAAAATTGTTTCTGGACATCGTGGTCCAGGTACATGAGAAAATTGCGTGTTTTTCACCTGTTTGGGTGTATGAAACTTGCGTTACTAAGATTCCCAAGAGAACACAAATCGAGCTGCTCTGTCAATGTTTTACACCGTCAACGTGTGGGCATAGAGATTAGTGTTTCTTTTGCTGCCCCTTGGATGTCTGAGTGACCAGCTCTAAGCTCTGCTAGCCAAGATACTGTATGCAGAGTTCTGTTCCACAGATAAAAGTGTGACTCTGTGTGATTTAAGGATGGTTAATACTAAAACCCAAATCCGACAGAGGTAATGATATCAGAAGTTAAATTGTGAATCCTCAGCTTGCAGAAGGATATAGATGACTGTGGAAGCCCCAAATCTATTTGCATGGTCCACACATGGATTAAGCCTCCTGTGAATTCCCTCTGAATACAATCCAGGGATGTGAATAGCCTTGTTATCAGACAGAGAGCATTGTGAAGTTGATTATGGCAGATATTTTTAGGTTAAAATGTAATATCTTATCATTTGTTCTCCCTTTTGACTCATCTTAAAATTATTCCAGCTTTTATTATTTTCTATGTTATATCTAGTCATGTTTTTGTTTGCTTCCTGTTTTGTACGATTTTCTATATATTAAATCCAGGTCAATCTATAGAGATAGTAACTGGATTGGTAATTGCCAAGATATATGACAGGAGAGGGCTGGGGGGTGGGGGATAGGAAGCTAACCATAAGTACAAGAAGAAATATTCTATAATTGATCATGGTGTTGATTGCACACATCTTAATATGATTTAATGGTTAAATTATATGCTGTGCAATGTTTATGCCACTAAGGCTTTAAAAACCAAAAATAAAACCACCAAACCAACCAAAGCTCCACAACACTGCCAACAAAGTGATTCCAACTCATAGCCAACCCACTGACCCTGTGGGTTTCTGAGCGTGTAACACTTTACGAGCTGTAAAGCCTTGTTGGTTTTGAACCGCTGACCTTGCGGTTCACACCCCCATGATTAACCCACTATGCCACCAGACTAATCATGGTGAGCGCATTCTCATGTGCTTATTGGGCATTGGTATATCCGCTTTGGAGAAATCACTTTTTAAGTTACTGGCCATGTTTTTAGTTGCATTGCTTGTCTTGCTTTTGAGTTGTAAGAGTTCTTTATATATTCTTGATATTAAACCCACATCATATCCAAATAACTATTTTTCCTTATTCTGTAGGTTGTGTGAGATGTGTCCAACTTCACACTTTTGTGTATAGAGACACAGTTGTCTCAATGCCGTTTTTTGAGAAGACTATTCTTTTTCCTATTAAATGAAACTGGCACCCTTGTTTTTTAAAAAAATGGAAGCTCAAGCTTATGTGTGTGTGTGTGAAAGAGAGAGAGAGAGGGAGACTTGAGGAGGTGGTGGTATAAAGTGCTTTTCCACTCGCCAGTTCCTACTGTGATCAAAGAAACAGCTGCTAACCTTTAGGTTAGCCTTCTAAGTGCGGGCCAAGCCATCACTGCAATTACTTCCTACAAGTTCCTTGGGTTCGACTGTGTGCTTTCTAACACACAAGCTCCTGCTCCTCCTATAGCCAAGAGCAAACACCAAACCAAAACAAACACGGACATTCAGGAGTGTGCAGTATTTCACAAATCAATTTTATTAATTTAAACACAAAATTAATGAAGGAAAAATTCTGTACACAGTTGTGGACACAACACACCTTTATACAGCAAGGCCAAGATAAACTTTGTCTGTTCAGTCTGCAGAGTACAAAAGAGGGAAAGGTTAAAAAAAACAAAACTGCCGACTTGTATGTGCTTCAAGCAAAACAAGGGGAAAACAGGCCCATCCAGTTGTTAATTTAAATAATTTGGAGACTTCACAAACGCCTGTAACTAGTTCTAGCAGCAACATGGGGCTTCGGAAGAGGAGGAAGTAGCTCTTCAGCTACTGTGGAAAACTGGGCCGAAGCTGGTGGGGTTGTTTTTCACCCCAACAGAATATTAAAGAATGTCTCAATGACAGGCTTTAGCTGAGAGAGATTCGGGCCTGGACGAATGATCACCTTGGGGAATGCTTTCTTATGGTGTGATGAAGGTGACAATTTTTTAATTCCCAGATTACGTATTGTCCGGTGATACATCAGGTATGTAGAGAGGACCATGAATTCCTCCGGTGAGGATGTGTCTACCAAGTCCACTGCTGACAATGAACTTTCCTCAGGGAGAAAGAGACAGAGAGAGAAACTGTGGCTGTGGGCAAGTCAAGCCCATTTGTGCTGATTTCCAGATTTGTGGTCATCTCCTTTATCTAAAGGAGAAAAAAATATGCAGACATGAAAATAATTCACAGCATATAATGTGAAAACCTTGCTGTGCTCATCTCCAACGCATCTAACCTTTTTTATTAATAAAATAAATCTATCATCTACATTCTTTCTGTGGGAAGAAGCATTTGAATAATCATTTTATTCTAAGTAGTTACATATAATACATTAATGTGGAGAACGTGAGGTGGGAAGAAGACGGTTTCCCCCCAAATTATTCAAGAAACAGCTGTGTTATTTTTACCATGCCCTTCTAACAGTATAGGAAGGAAGGAAAGGAGGAAGGAAGGAAGGGAGGAAGGAAGGAAGGAAGGAAGGAAGGAAGGAAGGAAGGGAGAAAGGAAAGAAAGAAAAAGAAAAGAAAGAAACAGATGGGGATATTTTTGGAAAAACAACCTCCGTATTGACACTTGACATCCATGCTTTTGGTCTTGACAACATCATCTAAAAAAACCCCAAACAAACAAAACAACCCCATTATCTACATATTTATACCCAACACTTCATCCAGTAAGGCACCGCACTGCACCTGTGCACATGTTGCCTCCTACTTCACGCTCAAGGCATTTCTAACTTTCAATATCATTTTCCTAAACAATATGTAAAAGAATCATCCATTATTACAAATTTACACCAAAAATTCTTTCTGTACAAGATTGTCTCAGTGATGTACATATTACACGTTTAAATTAGACATAGTTTAAACTACTTTGCCATGTGCTAAAATCAGAAGTACTTGCTGTGGCTTGCAGCAAAGGCCTTCCGTCACTTTATTTTTCTTATGCTAGCGTCTCTTCAGAGATCTGAAGTTCAAATCTGTTTGGGTGAATTGTATGGCGAGTGAACTATACCTCAAGAAAGTTGGTTTAAAACAAACAAACAAAAACCAGTCTGTTCATAAATAAGTAGAGATGTACAGATTACCCTGGGTATGAGACACCAAAAAGTAGACCTTCTTGACAAGAAACTGACTCCACTGGTATTTCGGAGGCACGCTTCCATCTCTGCTGTGCAATCAAGTTGGCTGTGTGAGCTGTTTATGTCACAGTGAAGCTGCTAGAAACGTACGCCTTCGCAGGTCCTTTCTTCACAGGTTTGAACCGTGTAGGTAACGTAGCAAAGACACCATGGTAGAACATTCTCATGGCTTGTTTACATTGGGTTCACAGTACCAGAGTCGACAGCTGTTCTGATGAAATAGACAAGGCCCTCCATTTGCCACAAGGGCAAGAGGTCGAGACCCACAGCAGCTGAGCATCATCATGTAGTGAAATCGCTAAGATCTGTCGCCCAGCGCCGACACAGAGGCGGCCCGCTGGGTTTGTCCCCGTCCCAGGGCGATGGTGGGGTTTCAAAGTGCTAGCGGCTGCTACAGGTACTCCAGTTCCAGGGCGTGGTGCAGGGCCATGAGGTCCGAGTGGCTGGAGATCCTCCAGAAGGGCATGGCGTGCTGGAAGGGGGAGACACACAGTGAGGACAGGCCCTGACCTCAGACCCCGGCTGAGAAGCCACCCTCCGTCCCGGATGGTAAAAACTGCCAGCTGCCAGCTTCACATCACATCTGTTTTGAAACAAAAACTCACACCTAATCCTCCCTTAAGAATACTGGGATGCGATTGAACATGTAATCTGGAGTCTGTTTCTTTTAGGAGGAAGGTGGGGGCTATTTCTTAACTAGATCTACACTGGGACATGCGTGCCAATCCAAGCTTAAAATAAAACACAATTCTGAATGAATCTCTGCTGTAACCAGTTGCCTTCCAAAATATGTATCTAGGGTGTTTTCAAGGCTGAAACTATAAAAAGACTTGTTGTTTTATAGGAGCTTAAGCAATTATACCGGGTTAGTAGTATTTTACATTTTCCCAAATGGAATCTTACTCGTCTGCGTAGCAACATGTCTACAGTTCCTTTTATCAGTTCGTCTTCACATGGATCTTGAAATGGTTTTACCATGTGGCGAATTTTGAAATGAAAGTCTAAGCTTTGCTTGTTGCTAAATCATCCATCTAAACGTCTGATGTTTAAATAAGAGAAATGCTTGGGAAAACTGCCTCAATAAACCAGAGACCAGAAAAATGGGGGAGGGGACTCAAGTTACCCCATCCATGAAATGTGAAAACAAAGTTTCACTGTTCCCAAGAACAATTTTAAATAATACTG